TTCACGCCATCTTGCTCTATCTTTCTCCAATCTTTACAAATCAAATCATTAATTACAAAGAATATCCTTTCCTTTAATCAAAAAATAAAAAAAAACATATATTAGTTTCGATTTTTAATTTTAAATTACATAAAATTAATTTAAAATTTAAAAATTTATTTTATTAAAGGTCAAAACCCTTATTTGCACCCTCCATTTATTTTTTTTCCGCGGTCAACACCTTCTAGAATTTTTCTTCCCTATTCACACCCTTCACTTTTCAAAACTCGTGAAAAACCCAATATTTTAACGGGCTGTCACGGCACCGTTAATAACCGTTAAAAATTATAATATGTGGCATCAAACAGTAACATAATGCAATGTGGACTTTTTTTTATTTTATGATATGGCATAATTAAACCATAATTAATTTTAATTTTTTCATTTTCTTCTTTCTCGCATCATCTTTACCATCTTCCTCTTCATCCTCCTGGGTTCCTCATGGAACGAGGAACCCAAAACTTTATGTCACATTTATTAATTCAATGTTGGACTTTTTTTTATAATGTGTTATAATTAAATCATCATTAATTTTAATTTCTTTATTTTCTTTTTTCTCGGCATCATCTTCACCATCCTTGTCCTCGTTCTCATCCCCCTAGGTTCCTCGCGAAACCCAGGTTCTGAGTTCTTCGTGGAACCTAATTTCACATGAATGCCTACCAAGCTAAGATTTTCATCCACACAAAGTAAATGAATACTACACAAAAACATGATAAGCATCTTCTACTCCTTTCCCACAAAAAACGAAAAAAACTCAAATTGACAACCTATTTAGAAACAATCTCTAAGCAAAAAAACTCACCTTTCCAACAAATCAGAAGCTAAGATAAATATATTCAAAATAAAAAAATAAAAAAAAATGGTTGGAACCCAGTTTCTGGGTTCCTCGCGTGGAACCCAGTTCGAGTTCCTGCGCGGAACCCATTGAGAACTGAGAAGAGGATGGTGAAGATGGAGGATGGTGAAGATGATGCCAAGGATGAGGGGGGAAAGAAAAAAAATGAAAAAATGCCGTTTATGTAACTGTTTGGTAATATTATAATTTTTTATTATTTTTACTGTATATGTGGCGTCCACATCTGTAAAAAATAAACCACGTCATAAAAAAAAAGATACACGTTGGATTACTAACGTTACATAATGCCACGTCAATTTTTGGATGCCACATAATATATTTTTTAACGGTGCCGTGATGGCCCGTTAAAATATTGGGTTTTTCACGAGTTTTGAAAAGTGGAGGGTGTGAATAGGGAGGAAAAATTCTGAAAGGTATTGATCGCGGAAAAAAAATAAATGGAGGGTGCAAATAAGGGTTTTGGTTTTTATTAAATATTAATATTTAAATTTAAAAATTAATTATATTAAAATATATGACTGATTTCTAAATTTAGGTATTAAGACTTAATATGATGAATTTTTAAATTTTAAATTTAGATTTTATTTTTCAAATATAAGTTTTTAAATATAAATTTAGAATTTAATTTTTTTAAGAATATAGGAATTAATTTCAAAAATTATACATTAAAAATTATTATATAATTTGAATTATAAAATAAATAATAAAAAAATATATATTTTTTTTAAAAAAAATTGTTGGACCTACGTCCACTTGCTGGTATCATTTATTGTCTCACCAAACCAACCAACCATAGTAATTAAACTAATCATTTAAAAACTTATAACCAAAAATATCAATCCTGGTTGATGAAGCAAAGCTTCAATTTAATTTAGAGCATATTTAAGTTAATTTGTAAGAGAAGAGAAGAAAAACGAGAAGGGGTTCGAAGCCAATCGCCATTAGTACTGTATGTGAGAGAAGAAGGAATATGGAGGCGGTTGAGCTTTGTGGAGGGAGGAAATTGTTGGGGTTAGGGTGAATGCTGCTGGATCGTGGAAGTTATATATATTTACATGCTTAATTAAAGGAGGGTCATGCAAAATTTATTTCACATTAATTTTAAGATTTGCCTACCGTGTTCGATCTCTTGATTTATTTACACTTTATACTCTTAAAAATATTGAGTTAATTATAAGATTTGTACTTAAATTTTATTTACATTAATTTTTTTACCTTTACCATATATGTTCTTAATTGAGAATTAATTATTGAGAGATTTGGTACCTATGTACAAAATCTTCTAAAAAATTTTTAATTAAAGATATAATCTTTACAATATTTTGAATTAAGGTTACTATTTTTTAAAAATTTTCATTCAAAGATATGATATTGCACATCCATTTAATCCCTTTTAGAAAAATGGCAAACGTTAATATTTTTAATTAAAAACTCTTGAAATGTAGTAATCTTAATTGATAAAGAAAAAGAAATCATATTCTTAATTAAAATTTTTTTGAGAGGTTATATCATCATTTGTACCAAATCACTAATTATTGGGGTGCCATAGATTTGGCAAAACTTCAAAATAAAGACACGAATTTCAGGAAATTTGAGAATTGGAGTACACACTTTAATTGTTTTGACACAATGATACATGTTTTTGGATTTGTTAGAGATAAGGGCACTTTTTTTTCTTCTTTTTTTTTTTTTTTCATTTTTTATGGTTGAAAAAATTATTTAGGTTGCGTTTGGGAACTTGAATTTGAATTTAATGGGTGTAATTTAAATACATGTATTTAAAATACATGTAATTCAAATACATGTATTTTAAGTACTTATTATATTACATAGTTTGATAAATTGAATAGGTTATGAATTTGAAATTGATTTGATGTTAATCACTTCCATTAAGATATTTTTATAAACACTTAGTAAGTAGTTTTAGTTACCCATGTCATTAGCCCTATTCCTTTCACTCTGTTTTGAAATACCCTGTCAAAATTCAAAATAAGGTTGCTGCTTCAGTCATCACACACAACAAAATAAAATGGTAATTAATATCTCATATTTCATATATGTTTAAACATAACTCAGCAAAGACTACTACCACTCTATCGTTTCCACATCCTCATATGAAAATCACCCATCCATTATATTTCAGTAGTCCTTCACCCACCCCCATTCCTCACTATTTCGCCTCCATCGCCGCAGCCACCACCGCCCACAATGGCCTTGTATGAACTCTACTACCCCATCACCATTGCCAAATGCTAGAAAGACAAGCTTGTGGTCATCATGGGTGATAACAATAGCAAAAAGTCCCTCCTTTCCCTTGACTTGGTCATTGCCCACTTTGCCCATTCTTAATTCATCAACTTTGATAAAATACGAGTTTACAAAAGTCTCGATATCACCACCAAGAAACTACCCTCCATGAGTGACTTGGCGTCGACCACCACTTGCTCTGCAAGTTCAACTCAATAGACACCGGCCTAGACCAACAAAGCAGCAAAAACAAGGGGAGAAAAGATTTTAGAGATTAAATATACAATTTTGAATGTGATCGTCAAGGCTTCATCAAAGAGAAGCTATCTCATCGTAGAGGAAGATGTAGGGAATGAACAAAGAATTTGAAATCCAATGTCAAATTCATGGGTATGAGATGGTATTTAAAATGGACACTTTTTAGTCTTTACAATACACAAGTTAAAATACGTGTATTTAAATTAAAATTTAAATACACTCTTGTTGTGTAAAAACAAACAATGAATTTAAATTTGTAACCTCAAATTCAAATTCATTCCTCTCAAACTCACATTGCCAAATCGACAGTTAGACAAAAAAATTGTAATTTAAAATCACAAAGTTGAAATTCATGTTATATATTTATATATAAAGTTGGCAATCAAATTATTCTATTTTTCAATCAAAACTTTATGATTATATGTACATGACAATTCATATCTCTAACTAGTATAAATATTGCATTTTTATTGCAAAATGATCAAAATTTGTGTGCTTAATTTTAAATTTAATAAAAGTTTTTGTTTTCATTATTTGATTTTGCCATTTAATAGTAAGTCTAATATATGATGGAAAAGAAGCATTAAGCAAGACACTCTAAAAGGTAACTCAACAAATAAGAGTTTTTTATTCTCAAATTAAAAGTTTGAAGTTCAAACTTGGGTGAAGGGATTGAGAAAAGAGGCAATCCACTCTTATTAGATGTAGCATAAGAATTAAGTCCCTTTAAGAATGTTTCACCAAATATGCAGAGAAGCAGAGCAAGTTGGGAAGGGCTGCGGCGGATCATTATTAAGCAATTGTGATTGCCCAATTAAGTGGAAGACATCAGCACAGCCTCCGGATTCCCACACCTGCCTTTGCTTAACTTTCACATTTGTCTCAAGTTCACTCTTACCCTATATTTGAGTTGAGGGGAATGGAAGAGAGGAAAAAGAAAGGAGGAGAATTATGTCATTCTATTTTTCTCCATTCTTTTCTTCTCTCGTCTTTTTATTTGGATAAATAACTAAATTAAAAAAAAAAAAAAAGAAGTTTTTTCCT